ACCATGGGCAAGCCAGGCAGGAGCAGAAGCAACCAAAAGCACTGGAAGCCATGCTGAGATAAAGTAGGAAGAGAATTAAATAGGTGGGAAAATCCCAAAGGTTCTATATGGTTCTATACAGTTTGTGTAGTTTATTTTTCTGACTTCTTAGGTCCAGTTTTAAGTAACACTTTCATAGGGTCATTATCCCCCAACAGGCCCCCACTTATTTCCTTGCATTCCTCACATCAGGTGAGAGAGCACAGTGCAAAACTTTGGTCCCACAAACACTTATGCAGGCGCTATTTTTTACATCCTGGTAGAACATATACAGCTTTGGGGAGGAAGGGTCTGAAATAATTAAAATAAGCAAAACCTTGGGATGCTGACAATCCAGAACCATAAATTAGAAGCCAGAAAATTAAGCCCACAAAAGGTTGAAATTAGGAGAGCGAGTGAAATATCTGCAGTTGTTACCTGATTATTGAAACTAAACTTTACAAAAATTGTTAGGCATGGGATCTTTAACATACAAAAAAACCTCCCTTGGTTTGTTTAAAAAATAAACAGGTACACATTCTTTACTTTTGAGTAATGACAAATGTGCCCAGTATTAATGCTTTACACTAAGATACATCTGTGTCTGTTTGCCTCCTGACTCTCTAAAAGAGAGAAAGAAGGATTGTTAAACTAGAAAGCATCAATATTGCAGATGTGTAAACAAAAAGGAAAGTTATGTCTGTAGGGCTTAGAAATAATATGTAAATAGAGAAGGAATGCCATCATGGAGATACATGATGCATGTTTGTACAGAGAAAGCTTGGGAAAAGAACACAACATCCCCGTATTTATTCATTGTAATGAATTACAGCACAATGTTTAGGGCACATTATAAGCAGCCAAATGAAATAACTTTCATATAATATTAGTTACAGAAAGCATTCTGGAAGATTGAAGCGCAGCAGTAATAACATTTTCAATATTACTCTAAAAATTATTTCAGCATATTCATTCTGGGAGAAAGAAACTTGCATGAAAGATGATTTTTGGTTCTCCCACCTTCAAAGATGCAATTTTTCCATAGAAGACCTTGGAAAAAAATTAAAACCAAGTGAGCAGGCTGGATTTTTCACTTCTCTGCTGTCTGTACAGTTGTGCATGTAAATAAATTTATGTGCATTTATAGTTCTACTGAATTCAAGGTGTGGGATGATCCACATGCTGGAGCACCAGTAGAAATCTGGAGGTGCACAAGAAATGTAACAAGCATGAAACAGCAGCCTTAAGAAAACCAAAATTTAGAGCATAACTGAGCAGTCATCTGTTTTATTCCACTCCACATATTGATGGTCTGAGTACAGATATTTAAAATGATTATTGTTGGTTTGATTGCAATGATTACTTGAGCTTATTCCAGTAACTTACAACAAAATCAAGTTATGAAAAAATAAACCACATCAAAACCAATTACATTAAAAACGTAATGGATAATTTATGGATCATTAAAAAACATAAGCAACTCTTCAAACTAACCAATAAATCAACAATTGCAGAAGTATTTTAGAATTTATTAAAAAATGCAGAAAACTTACAAATCTCATTTTACGCTCCAACAGGACACACAAATTGGTTTAGTTTCTCCTTGCAGCTGCTAGACAAGTAACCAAATCAGTTTTTCAGCAGTTGATCGGCCATTGGCCCGACTGCACATCCAAAGGCGTGTCAGAAGACATGCGGTCCCCAAGGGCTGATTTCCACAAACCTCTTCAATAGCTCCTCCAACAGTTTGCTTCCAAGAGGTTTAAATAAGCCGAGCCACTCTGCTCAGCAATGTATTCCTACAGCAGACAGGGCTGGCTGACAAGAGCTGCCGGGCTCACAGCCTCCGGACCCAAAATCAAGCCCAGGCAGCGCGGTCCTCGGCAGACCGTGCCTGGGGAACTCCCTCCACACACACAGTGGGACACAGACAGCACAGATCCTGGCCACCTCTCAGTTATTTCACTCTGATTATTTCTATTAGCAAATGTCCAGGTGCCTTCAGCTATCTTTCAATATTTGGTCAATACCATCCTGCTCCCAGAGATGATGATCCTAATCTGACAGTTCATGTCCAGGGCAAGACTCCCTCAAAGGGTGGCAAAATTTAGTCCAGAGCTCTTATGCAGGGAACGATGTCTGCACCCTAGTAGTGACCCTCGGTGCATCTCTACACTCATGCCCCGGATCACGAGAGATCCCCAACCTTTGGCATTACAGGTCTAACCTAAGACAGAGAAAAATCTAAGATGATTTAGCTAAGCATCAGATCTTGACCCAGCCCTCCAGCTTTTGCTAGACTATCTCTGCCAAGACCATGGTCCTATAGACTCTGAAGCTTCTCATCATTTTAATGCATGGGGCCTTATACACCACCTATTAAAGAACTCACCCTGACCATCTGATGACAAGTGGTGTAAATCCCACGTGGAAGGCTAGCCTGTAGTACAGCTGTGGTCTGTTGCATGGCTGCCTGCCAACCCAAGCCCATGTCTGTGTTCAGTCCATCCCCTAGAGCTGTAGCAAGACCTTCAGGAGATAACATGATGCTCCTTGGAAGACGTGCTGCCTGGGAGCACCCTTCCCCCTGGGCTCGGTCCTGCAGTAGCTGTCTTGATCTCTCTGCACAGCAGTTTTGGGCAAGGCTTGGAGGTCCCCCCCAGCCCTCCCTGGGGCTGTGGCCAGCGACCAAAACACAAATTCCCTCCATGGTCCAAGCAGCCCCCTCAGCCCTGATCTGGTGCCCACCACAGAGATCTGCAAACGGATTTGGGGCATGGCAGGCTGAGAACTTCTGTCCTTGACAATTCCAACCCAAGAATCAAGGGTGTCTGCACTGGCAAATGTGATCAGTATCAGCAAGACTCCTTCTTAGCAGGACCTGCTGAGGTGTGTCCCCAGGCGGTGGTCAGGGAGGGCAACAGCCTTTGTCCTGGCCTGGCATCCCACGTGCAGCATAGAAGTAGCTTACGTTGCCATAGCTGCAAAATCAGGGGATTGTCATACTGCAACAAACCCAGCTCCATGTATATAATCAGCTCAGCTTATTGTCCTGGTCAGAACTCGGGACTTTCACCACCACAAAAATCCAAGCTGCTACAGCTTCTGGGTGAAATATGCTCTTTCTCACAGCATCACTAATTGTGGGTTGGTGCAACCAAATGCAGTGCTTTGGAGACTCCCCAAAATGACAAGGTCTTGACTGGGGGAGCCCATAAGGGCTCCTGCAATAAACAATGTTGGAGATGAGCGTTATTGTAGCCACAACATCCCATTCTTTGCGTCTCTCCCTTGGACCCCCATCTGCTGTCATTTCAAGCATAAACTTCATCTTACAGATCCTTCACCACCCATCCTGTCCTCCTAACTTAGTTACTTTTTCTAATTGCATCCATCAATGAACATGCTGGCTTCCCCAGCTCTTTTGCTGAGTTACAGAAAACACTCTTCCATGCTACCCTTTACACTCTGAAGGCATGCCCAGCTCACATTCACAAAATTACCCCATCCCTCCAAATCCTCCATTTGCTGGAGTGCTAACAATAACCATGATAACCATCAGGTGGCTGGTATGCTGAAATGCCCACCTATTCCACTGCTTAAGGACATTTAATCTCTTCCTTATGTTCTTTCACTGGCCTCCCTTTATCCAAACACAGTCCATTTTCCCAAAAGCAGGCTGTAAGTTCACTGGGGGTGGGGGGATTCTTTCGTCCTGCAATTGCACAGCCTCTGCGACAGCGGAGTGAGGGCTCTGGTAGTCCATCGTGATGCAAAAGGAACCCCAAGGCAGGCACGCGTCAAGGCTCAACCAGCCATTCCTCTCACCAGGCCCTTGCGGCTGGCCCAGAGTTTTGTTTGTGTCCACCAGGCCCGGACACTCCAGACAGTGCTGTGCAGCTGAATTCGGCAGCTAAAAACCTGCAGGGTTGCGTTGGGCATGGCATGAAGGCGAAGCTCCAATGCTACAGCCAGAGTGGGGTGCCAGGAGAGAGACCTCCCCTCCCGGGGAGGGAAGTCTCGGGAGCGAGCAGGTGGCACCCACAGGAGAGGCTCAGATTTGGGCCCCGCGGCCTGGGTGGGCCCCTCTGAAGGGGCAGGATTGACCGGCCGGGGGACACCCCGGCTCCAGAACCAGGCTGGCAGACGGGGGCGGCGGGGAACTGCACTTCACTGCCCGTGTGAGGTTCGCTGGGAGG